GGTCTCTTCCGACCCTAGAAACTATGAAACTATGAAACTTTATTAAAGCCACTTCCCTACCTCTTGCATCAGGAATGCAAGACTTGCATTTATGTCTTCTACCCTTCCTTTTGTGTCTCTTTTCCCTTTTCTTCCTCATTTTTTCTCTTTCCTATCCACTTTTATGCCATCTGTTCATTGAGGGCCTGGCTCACTTGGCTAAGACGATGTTTTCAAACATCACCCTGAACCTGTGACAAAGGCAGCTAAGAGAACATCTTAAAGCATCTATCAGTCCCACAAGTTGCATGGACTCAGACTGGCTGATTAAAACATGCACTATATCTGTCTCTCCGTAACAGAAATGTTGCAAGTAGTCAGCAGAAGAAACAAAAACATAATTTTCTCTCTCTCCTGTTTTCTTCCCATCCCTGTTATGTGTCTCATCCCATCTTTCAGAAAGCATTTTTGTCCCCCCCCCAAAAAAAATTTATTACCATCCTGAATATCATATAAAAGAATAGCAAACAGATTTTTTCCCGCTAAGAAATCTATGTAGCCAAAGTGAAAGTTAATAAAGGAAGCTGTTAACATAAAAGTCTTATTTCAGATCGTACTTTTCAAATTATTGTTATTGTTATTATTTGTAAACTGTAATAACAAGCTAAAATATTTTAATGATACTATTTGCCATAGGACTAAGCAGGAGGAGGTCTCTGAACTTGAAACCACTAGTCTTATTGTCTCATATAGTACAATCACAAGGTCATATTAAGATCTTTGACTTCTGGGCCAATTTATTCTACCTAATTTACTACAATATTGCTTCCCACAGATCTAAAAAAACAGTACACAGATACTCAGACCTTTTGTCTCCTTTCTGGAGGGAAAAATTGATATTATTTACTGTAAGAAGTCTCAATACCATTGCTAGTAAAGACAACTCAACACCATTGCTACCCGTATCACACATCTCCCACAGTAAGTACTGTGGTGAAACTCAACTACGTAGGAACCTCCCACCACCTACCAGGTCATTACACTACAACTTTCAAGCTACAGTTCCCATGATTCACTGATTCTGCCTCCAATTTTCCTAGATTTTTAAGACCATAAAGAACTTGGGTTCATGGGTCAACGAGTAAGTTCCTCCAATACCTGCTTAGCCCAGCCGCTTAAATCCACACTGATTTTATATTTTTCTGAAACCTCTATCTAAAGTAAAAGAAAGAGATGCTTAGAAAAAAGTTTATCACCAATTAAATTCTAAACACTACACTATTTAAAATTCTACAGCATTCACAAGTAATTACTGTCAAGAGTCTGCAAATATATAAATCAAGTAAAAATTTGGCAAAAGGTAAATTGTAAAGGTTGATCTGTTTCCTTTTTTGTAAGCAACCAGATATGCCCTTTGAGAGATTGTCCAATTTTTAAACCATTTGAAGATGCCCCAGCAGTTATCTATACTATCTTACCTCCCTAAGCAGATCCTGGCTCCCTCTCCTGATGATAACTAACATTTCCTGCATCTCTTCTGGCAAGATCTTTCTGGTAGGAGGCTGCTGCACTCTGTCTAACGGTAGCTATTAGACAAACAGGATCTATCAATAGTTAGATTTCACTTTTGGTACCTTGACACTCTCCTTTCATTATACAAACTCTTGAGAGCAAGTTTGTGAAAGACCTGAGTGTACAAGATATCATCCTTACTTTCCATAAAGATAGCTTAGTTTAGGGAGAGGAAGAGGTTTGCCAGAAACTAAGGAATTTCACAGTGCAACCTAGAGCATAATCTTCAGAAGAAACTTCGGGTACTGTTCATTTTAAAAGGAACAAGGTAAGTGGATCCCTCCACTTCCCTACCTCTGCTGATGAAAGGCTGCAAAACTTCCCTACTCATAAAAGCAAAGGGAAGGAGCCAGCATCAGAGAATATTTGTAAGGATAAGGAAGAGCGTGCAGTGGGTGCATCTACCCATACAATTAATGTGCAGTGAGGTTACTGTGCATTAAAATAAGGAACAGTAAACTGTGGGCCTACACGTGTACCCACTTTGAAGAAAATTTGCTCCCAATGGGAGCAGTTAAGACCAGGGATGTTCTTGCCCCCCTGCCTTGCCCTGCTCTGCCCCAGTGCAGTAGCCAAGGGGAACTCCAGGTTCCCCCTTGTGCCAGTCCAGGGATGACAGGCAGCATGGGGCTGTTCCCAATCCCCATGTAGGAGGGGAGAGCTGTCCCATGGGGACTGGGTTGGGTCATTACCAGGTGGGGACACCTCTCCTGGCTGCATGGGGTTTGGGTCCTGACCTGATCCCCATATGACAGGCATGCAGCAGTCCTGGCTGGTGGGACAGCTCTCCAGGCCACATGGGGATCAGGACGGTCCTGATCTTCACATTGTGGGGAGACATCTGCCCCTGCAGCTGGCACAGGTTTGCCCAACATTGGGCTTTTGCCAGGCAGCATCGGGCCCCCTGCTGTGTGGGCTGACTGGAAGCAAATTGTACCCAAGCAGCATTTACACATGCACTATTGAGCCATAGCTAATGCTTAGTTAATCTACTTGCTACCTATATATACAGGTAGTAGAAAACCGTGAATTAGCCTAATTAACTACACAATAGCTACTTTGCACGATTACATGGTGATGCCTTACTGTGCAGTATTTTAGTCTACTGTGTAGTAAAGTGCCTTGTGTAGATGCACCCAATGCCTCTGAAAAACACCCAAAGCTACAGTTAAGTAACTCCTCAGAAGTAGAAATGGTGTTTCAGAAAAGGACAAATGTCTGGATTGGTTTTTATTTTGGCTTTCGCTACTACTAGTGAAGTAGCAGTGAAAACAACAACAAACATTTCTCTTCCCTAATGCAATGCCTCATGAAGGTATTGTGGGCATTACGTAAGCAGTGTATTCTCTGTACCACGTAGTACAACAGCTTTTCTAGACAAGTTGAGATCCCAAATATATTTAAAATTCAACAGTGTCACGTTTCTTAAATACACTTCTAACTTGGAAAGCAATTTGATTTGACATCAAAGATCCTCTATTTGATTGATGCTTTACTTATGTAATATTATTCCATATACAATAAATCCATGATATAGCCTATATAATTAAAATCCAAATCAGCAGAAATAACATAAAAATTACCTTTCCAGCTCTGCAATTTTCTTATCTTTGTCATTCTTCTCATTCTCCACTTCCTTGAGGATTTCTAGCAATCTGTCAACCTCGGCCTGAGCTTTGCCACATTCTTCTCGGTAGTATGACGCCTCTTTGTCAAGCTGTTTCATTCTGTCTGCATATTCCGGGTTCATACGGGCTTCTTCTTCAGCTTCATGAGCCTTCAGAGTTAATTTTAAGAAACAACAAGTAAGACAGTTTGGTGGCCCTATATCTTCAGGATCAAAGTCAGGTTTGCATGAAAATAGGATTATGGGTATTTCTGTCAGTTGTCAATATTTTTTCATAATGACCCAATAACAGAAAATGAAAATCTCTTTGTATTATTCTTAAAATTTCATCTGAGACCTATATTTCCAAAACTGTATCAATTACAGAAAAGAAACAACTTCCCTCAATTATAATTTTCATACAAGTTGGTAGCAATTTAAAAAATAATTCTGATTTCATTGTAAGATGCTAAATATTGTCATAAAAGTAAATATTTAAAAATATATATTATAACCTAGTCCATAAAATTCAGCCATGTGACAACATATTTAGAAATCTTGTTTGATTCTAAGAACTGAAGGAAAGAATCAGTCTTACACAGTGACAATGAGAAAAACATTTTCAGCTGACAGTTAACCCAACAATCCCCTTTTCCCCTCTCCGCTTATAATACTTAGCCTGAAACGTCAGAAGAACAAGCCCATTGGTAAAAAGAGCACAAATAAATAAACCTGGCAAACACATGCATGGGTGGGTGGCAGTTTCACAGACAAGAAAAAACGCAATGAACACAACAACGACAGTGCAGAGCCCAATCCTACTCCCATCAAACCTAATGGCAAAGTCCCCAATTAACTTCAATGGGAGCATGATGGGGCATAAAAGTGTTTTAAACTGTTGGCTGGAATAATCACAGACAGATGGAAACAACAATGCACTGCAATGCTTAGCCTACCCCTTGCTTCCCATTATTCCTAATTGGCATCTTGAAAGAGCAGGCAGGGAAAAAACAAGTAGTTTAACCACAGTACACATTAATCATAGAAAATTCAGATAACATTTTTTTTTAATGTACACAAATGTATTTTACAAAGATTAAGGACAACTAGAGCTGAAGGTCCTCCTATTATCTTACTATGTAGAGCAGCTGCTAATTTTTTATTTATTTGAAATTTCATAAATTTCAGGGAATAAACAAGGCAAGCAAGCAAAGAAAGAACTGAACATCAAAATGAAACATGCACATCTGGCGGAAAAATACCTACTACTGTTAGAAAGTTGACATTCTTTGCAATGATTTAGTATAATTTTCTCATTATCTTTATAAAGAAACAGGTCTTGTGTTTATTGTAGGTGAAATAATAATAAATTTAAATCACTGAGGAGAAAAACTAGATTTTTTTTGCATGTAACATACATTTAAGCATGAGGATAATAAGGAAAATAATTTAGCTTTCATGTCTTATCTTTCTCTTTACAAGGGGTATCTAACTATGAAAAGAACCTGAGAGCCTGATGGGACATTTGCCATATTTGTTGGCCTTGTTCCATTCCTCTACTTTAGATAACATAACATGTTTAGGACCTGGGCTCTGCACAGACACTGGGGTCTTCACACACACAGACCATTGAAGGCTCAAATCCAAAGAGTTTTGCAGTTTATTGTTTTGGTGGTTTATTATCAAAACTTCTTTCTGAGTTGGGAACCAACTGATTTGAAAGGTAAATTTTGAGACGTGATACAAGGTATTATTGTCACTAAGTGCAATTACAGAGGTAGAACCTCAATTTATGATGGGCTGAACACCACTTTCAGGTGGCAAATCATTTCCAGCTCCTATTTCCTTTAAAAAAAAATTGAAAGGGGAGAACAGTACTGGGTAATAAATATTTCTTCTTCCATGAAATAAAAACAGCAGCAGCAAGACAGAAGTATTTCTATAAGGAATCTCCAGGAAAAAATATGTGGAGAACCAGTCCCTCCACACAAATACACAGAGAACTAGGTTCCCTTAGGAAGTGTGGGAGTCATCTTTCCCACTCTGGTCCTGCAGACTACCAGCTGTTCATATTCTCCTAATTTCTTTTCCTTCATTTCAGGCCTCACACACTTTTGTGTCCCAACCTTCAGTCTTGCTCTCCCCACTGCATCCCTATGCTACATCCTACCTTTCATCCCTGCCACCCACTGTTTCAATTCTATGTTCCTTCCCTCTGCCCCATCAGCTTTTTTGTGCACCAAACACCCACTAGCATCAGCACACTGGGGCACCTACTATCACCCCACTCCTCATTTGAGCACCTCTCTCTGAGTTTGGCTTCGGAAGAGGGAACTGCAGGGGAGATGGGGCAGCTTTGCTATCTGTATTCCCTTTGCCAAAATGTCCCCCATATGGCCAAAAATAACTGGGAAGAATCTCTGCAGCACCAGCAATGTACAATATCCCAGCTGGGTTGCAGAGAAGCAGGACAAGGCAATCAAATGTGAATGAATTATACAATATCTGGCACAAAGCATCCACCTGCATAATTTAAGTACAGGTTACTGAAAGCTTTGTTTTTAAAAAAAATATAATTCCTTGCTTTCAGTTGCATCCCAAGGAAGTTAAGAAGCGTTTTGTCACAAAAGAATTGTGACAAAATGGCTCCTGGCATGCCATAATACATCAACGGCAGATCATAGGAACAAGCCAGATCCTCTGACTTTTAGACCCATGCTATATCCACTGAACATACTTTGCTTCTCAGAAATAATCTAATCATTAGCACTGCTTTATCTAGTGGTCTCTCAATGGCAGCTTCAACTTAAAAAGGTAATATTCCCATGATTCTGCTTTATTTTCTTTTTTAATTTTAAAAATCTTTAAGTCTTTTTATGAAGGATATACTATACATGTGCTAAATGATGATGAAAAATAGCAGTATTTTAAATTTTTTGAGTTAAAAAATAGCTATGTAGCATAAAATTAATAGGATAACGTTTCATATGATTATCATTACTATGTGATATTATATTATGTGATATGTTAAATATAATAATAATAACAATGGGCCACATCTTGCCTTGTTCCTTGAAATACAAGCAGGTAAAGGCACAAGAAGAATTACTTCCCTCATTTATGATGATCTAAATACCACCACTGATGATAGCAGAGAACTTTAAGCTCCCACTTACTTCAACAAGAAATAAAAAAGGGAGAACATCTTAAAGTACTGGGCAATAACTATTCCTTCTTTCATGAAATAAAAACAGCAGCAAGAGGGAAGTATCATTTCCCAACTACCTCTGCTCAGTAACTGGAATACTAACAGCTCTCATGCCCTCTCCCAGAAAAATGTTGGCTTTTAATATGCCCTGAATGCAGGACACTTCGAAGGGCTACTCAGAGTCACCTAAGATGGCTACCAGACCTGTTTGGATACACAAGAATGTTTCCACTACCTACTATTACAGTAGTAATTCTGCCTTTCCTTCGATAAGTGTATCTCCATACAAATCCTAGCATGAGTCAGTGCCTATTAAACATGATTCAGCTTCCAGTCTACTATGCATCCTAAGGTGGAGAACAATGATCCATAGTAATTCAAATAATATGAAAACACAAAGTAAATACAAGGATTAATAGAATATTCTAAAAGGAAATCAAATATTGGGACCAACTTAATTCAATTGTCTATACTTTCATAATAGATTGGGATTACTGCTGAAAACAAATTTAAGTTGTATATGGTACAAGATCATCTAATGCAAGATCAGACCCATAGAGAGAGCTAAATAGGAGGACACAAAAAAGGAAAGAGTTCCAAACACACTGGCTTATGGTATTGAGTGTTGTTTAAAACTGCAAAGACAAAATGAATGGATGTCAAAGGAGTCTGTTGTTAGCATAGTCAACATGAAGCAAAACTCACTCACTCTGAAAGCACTTGACATATAGATGTGGTTTTATTCATAGGTTCTGGATGTTATGTCCTATGAATTTAAAAATAACCATGGATTTTAGGCAGGAAAATATTTTTAATTGGGTTATAAATAAAATAGGGGTTATTTCATCCCATAGGCACTCTGCTTGTAGCAGTCAAAGAAGGTCCCAATAGTTGAAGGACAGTACAGCTGGTTTGACCATATCCCTACTATTCAAGGTGAGGTAGATTTCTTCATCCTTCTGACTCATTAAGAGTGAAGTTATACCATATTGGTATTTAGGCCATACCAAGGGCACTTAAAACATGAGTGTCTGCAGTTAAAGCGCGTTAATTTGTGCTAAGTGGCCTTTGAGCATCTCAAAGTTATGCCACTTCAGGTGAGGGTTAACTCTGGGCCATGCTACCCAGCTCATGTTAGGGTAACTTCAGTCTGCTCCACAGAGATAAAATATGCATTTTGCAGTCCTCCAGCATCCCAGCCCCCACTACTCCAGCTCTGTGGATGAACTTTCCATCCTCCCATCCAAGAGTTGGTATGGCTGAGGAGAAGGTTCTGCCAGTGCCAGTAAGAGGGTTGCAGTAGTGAGAGCATGGAGCTGGGAGGCAGAGAGGCATGGGGGCTGTGGCTTCCCTCCACATGCCCCCCACATTCCCATCCTAGGGTGGGGAATAGGGGGACAGGGCTATGCTACATGAACCCCAATAACCTAATCCCAGCCACCCAACCCAATCCCAGGCCCATCCCCACTCCCCCCAGCCATCCCCAGAGAGGACTGTGCCTTTACTGTAGCTTTTGCCTGACTCCAGATGAAAGTTCTACTACCGAAAACTCCATGTATTCAAGGTTAATTGAATTTTTTTCATGCAGCCTGCCCTATTTTTCACAAAGGCCACTGGCTCTCCCCTGGCCAGGCACCTTTATGGGGGCTATGGCTTCCTCCTGCATCCCCCAATACTATCCTAGGATTGGGGTGGGGGAGAGGACAATGCTACCAGCACAGAGACCATGGGGTTTAGCCTGGTGGGATCATGAAGCCATAGGGAGTGAAGAAGTATGCTTCCTCATGGTGCCATGCTTTCAATGGGCTACAGCCTGGCAACCTGGTCCCAGAATGGGAGATGGGATACAGCCCAGATGTCCTGGCCCTAGATAGGGCTCTGTTTGACAGCCCTCTTGTGGCAAGTGAGAGCTGTGCAGACAAGAAATGGTATTAACTCTTAACATGTGACTTCTCTCAACATA